ACACATCATAAAATTTTCATATGTATTTTGATACTTGATTTAAAAAAATATGCTACATGTGCTTAGCATATAAGAGAGCAATTATTGTCGAAAAATAGAACACTCATTTTCACAGATTGCAGTCAGAGTTGGTTAGAGATCCACAGAGATTTATGCACCTTAACAAAATGCTGCTTTGGAAGATTTCAGGGAATTAACCATAATGCTTCCAAATTACTTTGGCAAAACTTTGCTGTTATAATGGCACGATTTTAGAAAACAAAAAATATTGTTCCATCAGTGTATTAAAAAAAAAAAACAAACACAACTCATGTACCTTAGTCTGTGAACCTTGATGTTTTGCAGCCGAGATAAATGATTTGCAGGATGATGGAAAGCAGTCCTCCTTAATTCTTGGCTCACAGGTCCCAAGAAAGTATGGAAAGGAGAATGGATGCAAGGCTGCTATCTAACATTATGATCTTGATTAACTCCATCATAGTATTAAAAACAAGTCTAAATAGTAGCTGAGGAGTCCCTCAGCTTGAGAATCAAGATGCCCAACATGTGTTGTCCAAAACATATGTCTCCCTGCACCTGAGAAAAGTCTTTTTCCCACCAAAGAATTGCAGCCTCTTCAGGACATTTCTGGGAATGAACTCTATTACACTCAACTTCCAAACCCTCTTCTCCTCTCAGCACCAAACCCAGGTGAATCAGAACTCTCTTCCTCTATTTTTCCAAACTATAACCGTACAAAGGATATGTGGTCATGGCAGAATATTGTACTTGCTCTTCAGATACCTGAATCCCCGAAGCCTTCAGCTGCTTGGCATCTTTCACTAGCTCCTTTCTTCTCTGTTTCTGCTTCCTACTATTGAACAGGCTGTTTGTCCCACTGACCCCTTCTCCCACCACGAAATTCTCCCTACTTTATCATGCACAGCTCTTTGATCCTCTACATTCTACTTAGGGTCTCATTCCTTATTATTCTCAAACTCTTCGAGATATTTTGCTAACATTTTCCTTCCTAAAATGAATTCAAAGACCATCATTGAAAATAATTCCATGCACAGATTCCTTCTTTTTCCTCTTGAGAATCACTTCCTTTACTTAATGTCTTGATTTCAGTTGCTCATGAAGACTAGATCATTTACCTTCACTGCCCTGCAACTATTTCCCCTTGACTTCAATTACATTTTTTGTTTAGAGTTTTGTTATCTGATGAAGAAAACATTGGCACTTTTTATATCTATAGTATAAGGACTAAATGGTCAGTCACTCTTAACGTCACTTACACTTTTTCTGTAACTTTTAAGTACTAGATGTGATGTTTTCTGTGTGTTTTTTGTTGTTATTGTTGTTTGTTTTTAATCATGCTCTCTCAGAAGCTGTGTACTCAGCTTGAAGTTTGCCATTTTCAACAGCACTGCCATGCTACAGGCCTCTTCTGTCAAAAGTCCCCTTCTTTCTTCCACCATCTTGTTGATTCCAGAGATCTTCCCAGACTTGCCTTGTGTCTTACCTGTTCTTCACTCCTAGGCTTTCACTTTAGACATTTGGTTTGCTCATGTACATCTTTTGCTTATCTGTAGCCATCTACCCCATTGCCACCAACCTTTGTTTCCACCCATTGAGCAACTTGACAGAGGACTAGTAATCAAGATGGATATACACTTTAATCACTTTCAGCTCCTAAACAATTTCTCACTCCCAGGTTCTAGCCAAGGAAAGGAAAGGCCTGAGACTACCTAGGAATTATGAGCTTACAGATAGTTGATGCCTTGGCAATGGGCTTGAAGTGAACAAAATGTGTCTTCTATTAAAAATGGTTTATTTTTGCAGAAAAATATGATAATTGCATGTTTCAAGGTGAATATGGCTTTTTCTAATCAGGTATAGCTTTCCATGAAAGTATGGCAATTAAATTGCTAAGCATAAGCATTTTACTTAAAATGAGGCAGTTAAAGTAATAGGTCTTAAATATGACACACATCATAACGGTGTTGGATTCATAGTTAATATATATGTAGTGAATGCCTTCTATGAGACAATTGCTACCCTAGACACTAGAATTAGAATGGAATTTCATGGTCCCTAGCCCCAGAAAATACCTAATAAAAGTAAACACTTAAATAATGAAATAAATAAGCAAAGAAACAAATAGAAAATAAGTCCTCTGAATCAGAAAAATTAGGTGATAGAGCAGTAGATAGAGTGCTAGAGTAGATAGTGGAATGGGAAGGGTAGCTACCAATGTTAATTCCTTATATCTGACACAGTATAAATAATAAAAAGGAGTCAGCTGTGTGAAGATCTGGAAAAAGAATAAAAAGAAAATGCAAGTTTGAAAGTTCAGACATGGCAAGTTAGAGTATCAGAAGTAAGGACTTTGTCCTGGATATAAAGTATAGAATAAAAAAATAAGAAGAAAATAAGTTAAGAAAAGTAGAGAAGGGACAGACCCTGTAAAATCCTATTGTCCAGTTACAGTAAAGCCTGAATATAACTGAACATTAAAAGGAAGTCATTAGATACTTTAACAATTTTAACTAGGGAAGTTACATGATCTGCCTTGTACTTTAGAAGCAATTCTTGATGTTGGTGGAGTCATAGTGGGGCAAAGATAGAGTAAAAAAGATCAGGTAAAGTCAGAAAGATCATTTGCTTCTATTCCAAATGAAAGGTGTCAATAGATTGGCCTAGTTCAATGCCTAGGGTTACTAGGGAATAATAATATTTTATAATAAAATAACAGAACTAGTGGACTAGTAGGAAGTAGTAATGATGGCCTCATTGACAAGCCCTTAAATAGGGCTTATTATTTTAAAAGCACTGTTGTTATAGATACATAC